GGAGTGGGGTTGGGAACGAGGCGCGGCAATAAGTGGCGGGCGACGGGGTTGCGTCCGCGTCGACGAAGAAGTTCATTTGTATCCCTCCTCCCTCCCTCCCTCCCTCCCCCCCCGCCTTCCCTCCCTCCCTCCCATCCTTCCTCCCTCCGCAGGTGGTGATGGATCCCGTGAGTGGGATGAGCAAAGGTTTTGGCTTCGTTCGTTTTAAAAACGAGGAGGAAAAGGAGGAGGCTCTCAGCACCATGACCGGGGTTGGGTGCGGCGGCCGTGCCATTCGCGTCGCTCCGGCCACAGCCAAAAAAGCAGCGGGCAGCCACGGGCTGGGGATGGGGGCGGGGATGATGATGGGGATGCACGCCTCGCCATATCCGGGTATGCATTCGCACATGATGCTGGGGGGGGACGGGGAAGACCCGCACAACACCACGGTCTTTGTGGGGGGGATCGACGCGGGCGTGACGGAGGACGTGCTCCGGGAAGCTTTCTCCGGGTATGGGGACATCATCTACGTAAAAATTCCCCCAGGCAGGGGGTGCGGCTTTGTCCAATATGTGAATCGGACGAGTGCAGAAACGGCCATTGCCAAGATGCAGGGCGCGGATGTTCGGGGGTGCAAAGTCCGCCTCTCCTGGGGTCGATCGTCGCCGGCGCGTGCGGAGGGACGACGGATGGGAGGAATGGGGGGGAGGGATGGAGGGAGGGATGGGCATGGCGGGGTACCCGGCCATGTATGCCACGGTCGGTCCAGGTGCTGGGGGGGGTGGTTACTACCCTCCCACGAGCCACCTCCATCCCCCCCACCCTCAACACCCACCCACGCACTCCCCGCAAGCTCCGCCCACGCAATCCGGGTATCATTACGCGCCGGGTCCGATCCCATACCCGCCTTCCTCCTCCTCCTACCTCCCTCCTTACCACCCGCAGCAACCAAGCCCAGCACAGGCCGCCTCGCTTTATCACCCCAGCCAAGGGGGAGGGGGCACCCATCCGTATACACACCTTTCCTACAGTTATCAGAGCCATCTCCATGCTCCCCCCCATTCCCTCCCTCCACTCGCCCCTGGCCAAGACCGGGGAGGCTATCCTCCGGGGGGGTTCTCCCCGCAAGGGAGCCCCGACGGGAGGGAGGGCGGGAGGGAGGGGTTGCCGACCCTGTACTATGGCGATCCAGGGCACAGTCAGCCGCACCGGCCGCCGGGACCAGGGGGGCGGAAGGTGGGGAGGATTGGGGGGGGGCGGGATGGAGGGATGACGGCGTTGACAGCCCGGCTGGATGGTTTGGACATGAGCGGGAACACGGGAGGAGGGGAGGGCTTTGCGAAGGGAGGGCTGCCGCCGGGGGGGCCGGGAGGGGTGAGGGGAGGGTATGGAGGCGGGGGAGGAGGGGGGTCTCGGAAAGGGAGCTATCGAATGCAGCAAGGAGGATACGGGTACAGCCTTCACGGCGGGGGAGGAGGGGGAGGAAGGGGGGGAGGGGCCGGAGGGGAGGGGGGGTATGGTGGTATGTATCCACCACGGTAAGGGAGAGAAGGGGAGGGAGGAAAGAAGGGGAGGTGAGAACCCGGCTGGGTGGGCAAATGGATCCTGGCGGCCTCAGGAAGAGGAAACGCACGCGTGCAGAGGTTTGGAGGAGCACGGGGCTGCCTTATCTTATCGTGTGCTCGATACGGCGCTAAGCTCACTGCCGTGCTAGCTATCAGTGTCCGTACACGAGGGGGGGAAAGCCTGCGTGAGGTAGTAAGCCTCCCCTTTCTCCAGTCCCCTTTTGGGGGTGTGTGGGCGTGTGTGCTGGCCACACCCGGCTTTGATGTGCCTTTCCTGCTTGAAAGTGACGGCGACCATGTGGGGAGTATCGGGGTTTGCGAGGACGCGGGAGGGAAGCGAGGCTAAAGGGCGAGGGGGAAGGGGAGGTGCCGAATGGAAGGGGGGGGGGGGACGCTCCCAATAGATGAGGGGAAAGGAATAATGGGAAGAGGCATTCCATGTACATTAGGTGAGGCGGTAGGGGAGGGAAGACAAAGGATTGGAATCCAGGGGTGAGGTGGGATGGGAGAGCGATCTCAGCTTCACGACGTTTCCGGGAAAAATTATTGGAAATGATGTGAGGAGGATAGAGGAAGCAGGAGACAAGAGGGGGGGGGTGGGAGAGGGCGGTAGGGCTAGGGATGGCAGGACAGGGAGATGGAACAGTAAAATCGCCGTTTGATTTCCTCTGCACATGAATTTTGCATCCATGCGCACCATCCTGGAAAGACAGAAAATTAGACATTTTAGGGAGCAGTTAGTAATCGAAGAGCGGCGAGCAGCAGCGTCCGTGGAAGAATCAATGTACACGATCGAGGGTCCTACTGCCTGAATTTTCATTCCTTTCCCTTCAGTCCTGGATCTCGTGGTAACGGTTATCGGGCAATTCCAATCCATGCCTGTGAACCATTGATGCTTTATACTACCTAGGGTCCTTTTGTTGTTAAGTCGTAGCGCTACTGCCGCTGCAAGCTTCCACCATTTTGCGACTGTCTCGATCTTGGCGTGTGTATGTGTATCCCACTTCTCTACGATTTTTTCTACGAGTCCCTGCATGTTGCTGTTGCTGGAATATTCCCACTTGCATCCTTGGAAATGTCGCCATTACTAGCGTAATCCATTGTATGACGAATATGACTAAACGCACTGTATCTAAGTACACGTATGGATCCTATCTGAGGTACCTTGCTTTCTTTCCCATCATTAGTTTGATAAGCTGTTTCCCCCCCAACATCTGCGTACCTCTCTCGTTATTCCCCTCCCCTCTCGTTCGGCAAAAAGCGGAGGCGGGTCTGACCCCCTGACAGCCCCGTGGCTTCGGGAGATAAATCCAGGCCTACGTGAGCGCGCTTAGGATTGCTTGCGATGGGTAACGGAACGTGGGGCAAAGGACTGTGAAAGGAGGAGGCGGCAGGACAGAATAAAGGATGAGCGGACTGCACAAAAGGACGCAGTGTGGCATAGTTATTCTTCTGCTGTACACGCTGCTGCTGCTGCTGCTGCTGCTTGCTCCAGGGATGTTGGGTGGAAGCGAAGGTTGTAGAATGAGGGGAATTCTTATGCAGTCGTCCTGGAAGATCACGTCGGGGATAAGTGTCTGTCCGTTGCCATCGCTTTTGTGGCTGAGGCGGGAGAGGAAAGGGGAGAGCGGATCCTTCGGCCGGAGAATTTGAGCTCATTTGCTGATGCTGGCGGTTGAAATAGGCATCTCGGGCTAGGGATGGAGGGAGGTATTGGTGCTGCAGCTGCCACATTTGCGTGTCATTTAGCGCATGTGCTGACGGCCACGTATCCTGTTCGTGGTCATAGAGGTGCTGGTAGCCCCTTTGGAGGAATCCACCCTTCCCACTGTCCATGGTCGCCTCCCCTCTGTCAAAGTCCCGCGCTTCTTCGTCACATTCCATCGGCAGGAGCGCAGCAAGATGGCTGACGGCTTCTCGGCTCAAATTGACCTGACAGAGAGAGGCGAACATATCCAACGCAGATTTTGAAAGAGTTGGGAACGCGTTATGTAGGACAGAGGGAGGGGATGAAAGCAACCGTCGGAGAGGCATACTGTGCAGCATGAGCAAAGCAGACCACATATTCAAGGAAGGGAAAGAGGACAAGAAGGAGGCTTGATCTACGTTTTCGATTCGAGCGCAGACCCGCTGCAGCCAAGCATCGCCGTCGATACTCTTCGTCTTCCGGTCCATTTTCCGACGTTGTGCCTCGTTTACGGCCGCTCGAATCATTCTCTGCAACGGCGTTGTGCGACTCTCTCCTTTCTGAGGCCCGTCCTCTCCAGGAACGACCACACGGACTACGACCTCCGCTCGAGAATTGAAGAAAGAGTTTTGAATCGCTCGGATGGCTGGAGTGTGCAACAATGGATCACCCTCGGGCAGAAGGAAGAGGAAAATGACATCGAAGCGGGTGGACTGCTCGATCAAACTTCTGATAGCCTGCCTGTAGGCGGTAAATGCTGGATCGGCGGGGCTGGAGACGACCTCTGTCAGCCCCAAAAGCCGTACACCGGTCAGCTCGTCCAAAATCAGGTCCATCCCTCTCTCCTTCCCATTTCTGTTCCCGCCTTTCCTCCGGCCGCGCCTGGTCTCCGAATAGAGCGGAACATCAATGACTGTTATGTTGTGCGTGTGGGACAAGCCGGCCACGAACGATCCATTATCCAAATCCAGGAGATGCTCCGCTATGAGGCAAGTGGCAGCGGGAGGGCGAGAAGAAGGGGGAGAGACGGAGGAAAAAGAGTTCATAACGGCGCTATGTAAACTCGAGGCAATGGGCGTACCCTGACGGCTAAGTTGTGAGGTCTGCATCGAATCACACTTGGCGGGAGCGCAGCTTTCTGAGGCACTATCGGGGTTCCTACTTGTGCTAACATCGACGCTGTTCCCACAGTTCGGGTCCTTTCGCAAGCTCGAGGAAGCTTGATGACGAGCTTGGGGGCGGCGGAGCTTGAAGAATTCGTCCAGTAGCCCTCCTCTCACTCCATCCTCCTTGCTTTGTCTTTGCCCGGCATTGTCCATTTGTCGACTGGTTTTAGGAACGAAGGCACTGCTTTTCATGGGAGTGCTGGGGATGGGGACGCTTGGAGGGGGAGAGGGACGAAGTGTAGAAGGCGGCCGACGGGGAGAAAGAAGAAGGGGAGGAGGAGGACAAGACAGAGGGTGCGACAACTTCTTTCGCAGCAATACAACTGCCACGAGGGTGCTGTTGAGGTGGAAATAAATTTGTGTCTCCTTCTGGCACCCTTTGCCGACCTAGCCGGGCCACCTCGGCCTCTTTCTCTCGGGCAATCCCCGGCTTATCCTCCGTCCCTCCCATCCCCACGCCTTCATCGTCGACATCAACTTGACCCCGCTGCGCTTCCCGTTTCCGCACATTGACAAGCTCCAGTTGCAAGTCCTTCCCTTCCTCCTGTCCAGCCTTCTCCCCGTCCTCAGGGAAGTCATCGAAGTAGCCCCACATGTGGAACACTCCCGGGTCGTTCGCCTGAAGAAAGAGGGATAGCAGGATCTCGTTGGCCACATTGCTGGTATTTTCGACAAGAGCAAGGGCAGGGGGAAGAGAGGGAGGGACGAGGATATCGCTCGTTTTGTGTGCTGCGTATTGTTTATCCGTCCAGCTTGTTTGCAATAGAGAGAGCAGGCAAGGTTGGCTTGTTGAGTCGCTGAGATACGGGCACGAAAGAGGGAGGGCGAGGCTGCGAAGCGAGGGGCGGGAGAGGAAATAGACAACGACACCAGTAATGAGAGAGGGAAAGTGTAGAGGGCGGGAGAAGTTGAGGTCTGTGATGTAGGTGTAGAGAGACGGAGGGCGCGGAGGAAAGGACATGGCACGCAGCTGAGGAAAAGTGATACAGGAGCTAAGAGTTGACTTCGAATAGAGGGTGGCGCTAGGATTGACAGTGCAAAAAGAGGAGGTAAATGTAGCCGGTGGATGCCGCCAGTCAGGAGTCTGCTGTAAGAGCTCCAACAGCGCTCGATTGGAAACGGCAAGAAGATTCTTCCCACTCTCCAGCGAGGAGCTGATGGAGGAGGTGCCGGGCCGAGGGGTCGAGCATGTGTCCATTAGCACGCGAGGAACGCCGTCTCCACCTCCATACGGCAGACGAGGGTATCGCAGGAGTGGGGGAGCCACAAGCACGTCGTCATTCGCAGCGGGGGCGAAGCGGTTTAAGAGGACGTCGAGGTCCCCTCCCTCCCCTCTTCCTTTCCCTTTTTCGGTCCTAAGGTGTGCGCTCTCATTTTCATCCGTGTAGGCCATGTCGAACATGTTAAGTGTGAGATAGGCGAGTGGTTGAGTAGAGGGGGAAGGAGAGAGAAATGGTCGAGGAAGAGGCCTGCATGGAGTGGAGTCCGTATCTTCCTCCGTGCATCGTGAGACAGTCCAGGTCAGACCCGCGGAGAGGGGCTCAAGTAGAAAGATGCAGCCTATTCCGGGTCCTTTTTCTTGCCCGCTTCCCTCCCCCCCTCCTTCGCTTTCTCTTTTGTCTCTTTTTTGTGGGCCATGATCCGTCTCAGGGCCTTTCAGCTTCCCGGTCAGTAGATCAATTATCACAGAGCCCGGGCTTTCCTGCCGTCCACACCTGTGATTACGACCGCGCCTCCACTCGCATTCCTCCCATGCACCCTGCTCCTCTTGCCCTTCCTTCTTCGAGCCATAAAATTCGATCCTCTCGTACGGCAAAGGGCCCCGGCCCAGGATCCACGCAGCACGCGCATCGATTTCCTTCCTTGCACGCCTTTCTCCTTGAGCGACTTCTTCAGTCCTTCGCGCAAAAAACGGAATCTCGCACTCAGCTAATTCTAGCAGCTCATCAAATCGCTCCGCAATAGCATCTTCATACTTCCTTTCAATCGTCGGCTTTCCGTCGCTCGTTGTGCGAATTCGGTCACATGAAGATGCAAAAAGAGGAGGCTTGAAGCGAAGAAAGGAGACACTCTGGCTGCCGTCAGGAAACACCCCCATGGGACCCTGCACCGATGCCCGATAGAGTCTTGTGGATTGGAGCAAAGAAAGCAGTTTGATACCTTGTACAATGTCCTGTCCTTGCTCCTCCTTGCATTTCCTTCCTTTCTCTGCTTCCTTGTCAAGACAGAGGACCAAGGCTTCTTGCAGGCGCTTTCCTAGGAAATATCGAACGACAAAGGATCCACCGCCAGGGCTCACATCATCTATCGAAGGATCAAAGATGAGACGAATGGGCGCAGCAACTACCATGGTATGCTTTCCCTCTCCCTCCGCCCTTTTCTCGCGCTTTCTTTTTTCCCATTCCCTCGTCGGATCACCCGTTGCCATTACAGTTTCTTGGGCATGTTTAGAGAGCGACGTGAGGAGTTTGTTCAGGTCATCCCTCTCCATATCTCGCTCATTAGCTGCCTCTTCCATTTTCCCCACCTTTTCCTCCTCTACCTCCTCTCTTTCCTCCTCTCGTCGCTCCTCTTCCATTTTCCCCACCTTTTCCTCCTCTACCTCCTCTCTTTCCTCCTCTCGTCGCTCCTTCAGACCCACTTCTTCCGACATCCGTCGATTCTTCCTGTCCTTACGACATTCTTTCATCTTCTCTTGCTTTTGCTTCTCTTTCCAATGTTGGACTTGAGCAAGAAGCTGCTCCGTGCGTATAGGTGCTGGTGTCAAAAGCTGTCGGCGGGAAAGTCCATGGTCGAAGGATAAAGGGGGATGGCAAATCAAGGGCCGGAGCAAGGAAGGCAGATCAAGAGGCAAAGATACAGAGTCTGTGCGAGGTACTGGTAGAAAACTCTGCAAATATTGCGCGAGACCTTGGGTAATGCACATATGGAGGATGGAGGAGGGTAGACGACGGGGGGCAGGCGGACCTTTGATGGGATCAAAGGAGTTTGCTCGGCAAAGCGCATGAAGCACCGTATCAGGAAGATACTCGATATGTTGAATGGCTACTGCACGAGAACCTAACTGATACGACTTGCGAGTGGCCCTGGCATTCGAAGAAAACGATGGATAGGTGACGGAGGAGGAGGAGGCAGCTGGCGTGGTGGAGACCATTCCCCGAGTTTGAATTACCCGGCCGTGCGAGTCCAGAAAGACGCCATCACCTTTGCCGATGTGCCTTCGCTTGTACTGCTGATATTGTTGATTAGATTGACAGTGTAAAGCTGGCATGAGAGGGATAGGCTAAACATGAGAGGAGGGTGGCTTGCGTTTGGTCGGCATGGTGGTATGTGTCGTACGCTCCTGGATGAGGAGGTAAAGGAAATGGACGCACGGACAAGAGCGATAGGAGAACGATGAGTGCACAATTTACAAGAATACCTAAACCATCACTTATATCGATTCAACGCGAGTACGGAAGAGGAGTGTTTTGAGACGAAGGGAGGAAAAGACTGGGAGTATGAGGAGGAGGGTGGCGGCCTTCTCATCCTTTGGGGGGTATATGTGCGTCTGGGTTCAGTATTTGCCCGGGCATAGAGGAAAGACAACTTCTCCACGTAATTTTCACCCTTTGGTTAAGCAGGCATATATTTTGGCACTGTATGTGTGAAAAATCATTCCCTAGTCCCATTTCGAAGGTCTGATATAGAAAAAAGGCAATGTGATGACGGAGGAGGATGGGGAGGAGGGCCGTGTACATTCCTAGCTACGATGGTAAGGAAGCACGATTTTCTCCGAATCGAAAGTAAAGAAAGCATGTCATTATGACAGTTACGTGCCCGAAAGGATCCATCATGCAGTAGTCGTGACAATATCTTTACTTCTGTCTTGATTGCGGTACTTCCCCCTTCTCTTTCTGGTCTTCTACGTCCTCATGCTTCTTGGCAGACAATTCTATACCATTCATCCCGCTTTCATCGTGCGCACTACCTTCCACTCCACGTTTCCCATAAAATGTAGCCAAAACTGCCGCACTAGTGACGAGGGCCGCCCCTGTATACCCCATCGTACCCAATGCCTCGCTCTCCCCCAACAACAGACGGGCAAACACAGCGCCGTACACGGGGTCCAGCGCGTAGATGAGCGCAGCTTTCTCCGCAGGCACTTCCCGTTGCCCCAATGTCTGTATCCAGTTGCAGAGCGCGGACGCCACCACCCCTAAAAACACAATCTGAGGCCACTCGTCCCGCAATAAATCGGTAAACACCACCCCCAGCCCCCCCCCGTCCCCTCCTTCTCCCCCCGTATCCCATTAAGGCCTCCAGACCAGCCCATACCGCACACAAGCCCGTCGTCACCCACAAGGTTGCGCTGTTCAATTCCTTGGCCCGGGTCAACGAGTAGGCTTTCGCCGCTCCCTCCAGTCGTAAAATGAACATAGCCGAGGCGGCTGCAGCTGCCAGGGACCACGCATCCCCAACGTTCGGCATCCTTCCCCCGTCGACGGACAGGAGCGCCGTGCCCGCAAACGCCAGCAGAGCAAAAACGACCACGTCCAAACTCGGGCGTCGACCCAGCAGCAGCCAGGCGAAGAGGGGAACCAGCTTCACGTTCAGGTAGAGGAGGAAGCCACTCCTAGACGCGGACGTGAGTTGCAAACCGACGGCCTGTAAGGAAAAGCCCAGAAACATCCAGATCCCAAGCTCGGCGCCCGCCCGCCACAGGCCCTGGCGTTCCTTCTCCGCCGCGTCCACGCCCTCTTCCCCATTCTCCGAGCAGGTGCCGAGGGAGGGAGGGAGGAAAGATGGCGTCCACGGCCAGAAACAGAGGGAGGCCAGCCCGAAGCGGAGGAGATTGAAGACACCAGGATAGTCGGGGGAGGACGCCAGGGCACTTTTGATCACCGCGTGCTGGCTTCCCCATAGGAGGGTGACCACATTCAGGAGGAGGTAGGCGAGGGCAGGGGTGATGAGGAAGGAAGGAGCGGGTTCGGTGGGGAGGGGAGGGGAAGCGGACGGGCTGTTGACGAGTCGGGATGGGGTGGGAACGCTGGGGGAAACGGAGAAAGGAGGTTCGGGGCTGTCCGGAACTGCCCACTCTTGTCTTTCAGGCTTTAACGAAGCTGGAGAAGGTGCAAAAGCGTCGGAGGGGAAGGAAGGGGAGGAAGGGGAGGAGGAGGAGGGGGAGGAGGGGGAGGAGGCATCGACGGGTTCCAGCTGGTTCCGGGTATGTTCCTGGGGGCTGCTTGTCCCTTCTTTCTGGTTGGGCACTGCACAGCGATGGAGAAGGTTACTGAGGATTGAGGGCAGGAAGCAGGGTGGTATGGGTGACATGGCTTTGAGCATGCCGGTACGTACAAAAAGGAAATGCTCTCAGACGCTAAACCCTTCCGCTCCGCCTACCTTCCCTTCCTTTTTACTCCGCTCACCCGCAACATTTCCTTCCTTCTCATATTTCCACCCTGTGCACATACCTTTTCATTGCCCCGCATTTTCTGGAAGGACAGTCCGCGGCGGATACACCGGAAAATGACAAGATCGAAGGTGAAGACCAAGATCGGCCATGATATTGGGTCCGGGAGGAGGCCGTGACGAAACGGTGGGCCCTTGCAGTGTCCCCGGGGCGAAGAAGGCGTGGAAGCCTGTGCGTGAGACTGCAGCTGGGCGGGGACGCGGTGGAGGAGGGTGGGAGTGGAGAGACGATTGAATCGGATGACGGTGCCCATCCCGGGGTAAGAAATGCCACATCCATTCTTTCTATAAAAGGCGAGTCCACGTCGATGAGAGGCCACGCTGCTCAAGACAGAGTAGCGGAGATAGAAGGGGGGGATTGCGCGCGTGTAAAGGACTTAAAGGCGGCGTATTTCTTTTTGGGGGGGTGCCTCAGTTGCGCAGACGTGGTCCCTTCGGAAGGGAGGAGGTTGTATGGAATGGAATGCGGATGGCCGATAAAAAAATGCGTGCACGCACACCAGGGAAAGCAGAGCCACTGGAAATCGTCGACCTGTGCAAGGAAATAAGAATGCAGGCGGTGGAAGGTGAAATGTCGTTCAGGAATTGGCTGTTGCTTTCCAGTAGGCCGGGAATCGAGTTCGCACAATTTCAATTCTTCCTTCTTGTTGATCTTGAAGGAATTCTGCCTTCACAACAATAACTCATGTCGTCCGCAGTCCCTTTTTAGCCCTCTTTTTGTTTACACTTCCCTATCGGAAAGCTCTGCTTTGTGCATCTATGGTTTTGATGGTCTTTTTGCGTCGACTCGCTACATGAACAGACGAGAGGTCACGTCCTCGGTAACCTTCCAAGAAGGTGGAAGATAAAATGCCCCCAAAAACAGTCCAAGGAATGGTAAAAGCTATCTAAAAGTTGATGAACATATAAACACCCCACATTCATTGGATTGGTGGAATTAAAGGCTGTGATCATCATGAATGCGCTTGTGCTATCAATCTTTCCCCAAGCACGTTACCATTGCTACCTCATGTCCCGTCCTTTAGCGTCACAATCTTTCCCAAATATCCAACACAGGGACGGCGTCAGTCATCGACAAAACCTCTCCGTCCGGGGAGACTGCTCAGCCCTCCTCACCTCCACCTCCGCTTCCTCAGTCGCCTGATCAAAAGGCCCCGCAGTTAGAAGAAGGTCAAAGGCTGGACTCGGGCACTCTCAATCTCACCAGCATGTACTCCTCGTCAACCCCATCGGTGCCTCCACCATCCTCCACCCCCCACCCGTCGCAACAAGGACCACAAGGATTCTCCCCTCTTTTCAATAAATTCGAAATGGACAGGCAAAGTTCTGCAAGGACTGTCAATCCTCGACGCAGGCCAGGACGTGGGCCTCCGCCTCCCAAGACCACCCTGGCGGCTGTGCTTATGCTGGTGACAGGCACGATATTATTGTGCACGGGACTAGGGATCCGGTGGCATACCGACCCGAAGGAAAAGGAGCGAGGTCTGGCCATGATCATCTTGGGGAGCTTGCGTAAGTGGCGGGGCGGGGAATAGAGAGAGGGGCACAGGGAGAAATCTGATAGTATAGGGCTCGCGGGTTGTGCCATGCATATTGGAAAGGTCTTTTGGGGGCATGATGACGGGCGGAAATGGAGGAATAAGAGGACAGGGCTGACGGTGGGGTTTGCGTTCCAGAGTATCAAGGCTTCTCTATGTGCGCCCTGCTCCGATTTAGGAGCAAGTCCATGCCTTCTGACTCTTCTTTCAGCATCTTTCTGAAGTTACTCTTTTATCTTCCCCACTACAGTCTTTATTCCGGGTAGCTACGCATCATTTCAATTGTTTGGAGCGTGGGCGGGCTGGCCCGGGTATTCATACGCATATATTCCTTCTTATGACGACTGAGGGGAGCGATTTGTAGGGAACAAAGCAGGTGCAAAGGATAAGCAGATGAGTCGGTGGAATTTAAACGAAAGGCTTGCACGAAAAAGAAAATGATGATTGTGGGATACTCGTCGAACGGGCTGCCGGTAAACCGGCTTCCGTTTTACGCTCGAAGTTATCGAAGGTCTAATTCGGCATCGGATCCAGGATTTAACAAGAGAAGATGATGGAGGTGATTTGAAAACAAAGAGATTAAGAGGGTAAATGACTGGATGGTATGAAAAAGAGACTTTGTGTCAAAGGGTCAAGAGGAGAGGTGGTGTTTCGACGCCCTCGCGGGGACTTACGGCAGAAGAATTGCGCTGTTATATGGTATGTTTTTAATGACTGGGGTTTTAACATTGTTTCAAGGTTGGGTGTCTTCTTCCAATCACCATATAACTTATTGCCTTGATATTGCTTTGTACGTCTGAGTGGACCATCCATCGCCTCCTCTTCTTCTATCGCGTGCCATGCTTACGCTTCAATCCCCTCACATTTGTAATGCCGCTTACAATCCTGAATGGATGAGAAGTTGTTTGAAAGTCTTGCTGTAGTTTTGTGCTTGTTTACAAAAAAATCGAGGTGAAAAGTATTCAGTAAGATGGCATGGGACCTTGTAATAGCGAGTCTCGGGCGATAGAAGCTACCCGGTGAACGAGGCAACCGCGTATTTATGCATGATGATAAGAAGCTCGGGAGTCATTTGGTGCACTTTAATAATCACACGAATTATTAAACGGCTGAAGAGACTAACGAGGACTCAAGGGTCGCTTTCATTGAACCATCATTCTTTTCCCGAGGACAAAGTTAGGGAGACCTGTCCTCATATGAGGGGAGGTTAGAAGGACCAATAGGACCGTGGCCTAGAAAATGTCACAAGTGACTCGCACACACCACGAAACAGATCGAGCAGATACAGACGTCTGAAACGTCGTTGACTGACCGATGGGCGTTGGTCAGGAGAAGGAGAAGACTTTCTCGGATGAGGAAGTACCTCGGAGCAAGAGTGGTGCCGGTGAAGGAGAGGAGCGTCGTCATTCATGCAGTGATGCCAATGACAGGTAGATATACAAATACGCGCATGAATTTTACATAGCATAGACAAAACGTTCAGCTTGAAGCTCGTCTTAACTTCTTTTTGAGGGTTTTAACGCTTTATCTTCCATCGCGCTCAACTCAGTGACGCTGGCTCATCCTCTTCGTCGTCCTCGTCATCTTCGACCGGTGGCAGCGGTAGCAGCACCGGGAATGTTCAAAACGATAAAAAGAAGAAACAGGAAAGGGTAAGGGTGCCCGTTTCACGGTGCTTTCGGTCTTGACATCTGTAAACGCAAACCTTCCTCATCAATTTCTGCCTGTCCCTTTTTTACTCCAGAATCGGGCTGAAGCTCTGCTACAGGCCGAGAACCGAGTCCAGACACAGCAAAGGTCTAGAATGTGGCAAACAGTGGCTAGCAGCGGTGAAAGCGATGGGAATAGCGGCAGCAGCAGCGAAGGAAGCGGAAATGAAGACAGCGAAGGTGATGGCAGGAGGGTAGATATGAAAGAAGTGGGAGCTATGAGTAAAAGGAAGAAAGTTGAGAAGGAGAAGGAAGGAAGATCAAAAAACGGACGAAAGAGAAGGGGAACGGGCAACGAAGCGGCGAAAGCGGGAGAAAAAAGAAAAGAAGAGAAAACATGAAGAGAGGGAGAGGAAGAGGAGACGGAAGGAGGAAAAGGACGACAGGAAGAAGGAAAAGAGAAGAAAAAAGACGGAAAAAAGGAGGAAAAGAAGAAGAAGAAGAAGAAGAAGAAGGAGAGGAGAGACGACAAGGCAAAGGGAGCAATCATACCGGGGGCCGTGGACATGAACCAGTTCGGGAAACACGGCATTATTCGGGTGAGCGGGGAAGGAAGGGAGAAGGGAGGAGAAAGGGGTGGGAATGGAAGGCAGGGCATGAATGCGCAGCAAGTGTACCTGCTTTTTGTCTTAATTGTATCTCGCATGTCGTACCTGCTTCTGTCGTACCTGCTTCTTTTGAATTGCAGGAATCGGACTTTCACAGGAAGAAGAACGACTTCGAAGTGTGGTGTCAGGAGATTAAAGGTCTTCCCGAAATTCCCCGAAACCACCACGAGGCCCTCCGCTTGTTTCGCTACTACATGGAGGTAAGAGGGCATGAGGGTTACTATGCCGGTTTCAGTCTTATGCATGTATCGGGGGAGGGAGGGTGTTATGGCCCGCGCCTCTCCCTTTGGGATGGTCGGGATAACGACACTATTATTTGCTTACCCATCACAACCACACATAACCTGGTTGGCTTAGCGGGCACGAGACTGGGTACTGGCGCCCCCACGCTTTTTCCCTCCCCTCCCTTCCCCGTCCTTCTTTCCTTGATATAGGACTACAATACTGCCACGTTCCCTCATCCTAAGTACTACAACGTGGAAGCCTACGAGATGGATGAGTACAAACGTGGGCAGTTGAAAGCTGCATTTAAAGAAGGCAGGGAGGGAGGCGTGTTCAAGGACGAAGAGGAACGCCGCTTGGAGAGTAAAAAAGGCGCGAAGGAGGGTGAACGAGCCGATTTGGAGTGGGCGTTGAAGATGATGAGCAAAGAAAAGAGGGATGCGTTGAAGGAGGAGGAGTTGCTGCGGGCCAAGATGCAGCAAGCGTACAAGGTACAAGAGGAAGTAAAGGGGTCAAATCAATGCGGGACTGCTTGAGTAGAAGGAGGAGCGCGGTGAGGGCGGAGGTGAATATGTGGCGGTTCCTTACTTTTACGTGCAATCCTTTACCCTCTCTCCCCTACAGGCGGGGGATTTGGCGACAGTCAAACGGATTGAGCGCGCGTTAATGACGGAAGAGGAACGAGAAAAAGCACGGTACAAATAAGGAGGGAAGGGGCGAGGGAAGAGGCAAAACGCCCAAGGAGGGAGGGTTCGAGAAGGGAGGGCGGTGGAAGGTCCCGAGAAGATGTTGAAAAGATCACGTAGGACGTGGAATGAGGCGACCTTTTCATTAGAATGATTTAGGGGGTTGGAGCATAAATCGTGCAAATTATTCATTTGCAAGTAAAGGCGTAGAATCATACCTCAAGCCGGGCAAGACAGACATACACAGGAAGGAAGATGTCTTGTCGTTTCTCTTCTTTTAATGTGTTGGGCTGAGAGGCGCAGGCCTTGGTTCCTGACTTACAGGCTGCACTTTTGGCAGACTTGGATACTTTTTTACCTGTTTTCGATTCTTCTCGAAGCATAGGATAGACACAGAGATAGATAGATGACGATCATCCCAGTCAGCCGAACATGGTGTGGAAAGAGGATCCACATCAGATGGTATATGACCATGATTCGTGCAGTTGCCTCGGCTCCGCTGCCGCCCAAACCCCTCATCCTCTTCCTTCCACATGGGTTTTAATTGTTTCCTTCCTGATCCGTTTTCCACCTGCACTTCTGAAGGGTCTCCTTCGGCATAAACTCTCCTCACGTCTAGTCCGTCCTCCATTCCTCGTGGACCCCTTCTTTGCTCACAAAAAGTTCTCCCTTCCCACCTTTATCCTCCTGTGCGTCCTCGCGGACCAGAAGATTTCTGTATTCGCACCTCCCCTCCACTAGAACCAAGTCAATGACCATAAATATGCACTAGACATAAATCTGACAAAACATGCACATCCCTTCAAATCCTCCTTTCATCCCGTATATCTTTAAACCATTCCCGACGTCTTTCTCCTTTTAAATCGGTCATGGCTATCTTCCTCTGGCGCAGAGCCTCCTGCAGACATCAAGGTCCATGTCTGATACAATATTCTAGATGGTTGGTCTCTGAGGGGTAGGTAGGTCCTCATCCGAAGCACGAACTATCGCCTCTTCAAATTCTCTCCCTCTTTTTATTCCCCTTGCTTCTCCGTCATTTGCTTCCAACATTGATCCTCCAGAGGACCCTCATATGGCCATCCTCGACCGGCCTTTTCTCTTGTCACGCCAACTCTGTCGCTGTTCCCCCGGGTTTTCCCCACCGCACGAGATGGTCGTTTCATGCTGCTCCAACTATAGAGGGCTCTTCCTCTTTCCCGCCTTCAACATTTTCCTTCATCATCAATAAATTCGTGTTCGGAAAGAACATATCCACCGCGGCCGAGGACATGGAGCCCAGCACATTGAGACTTTCTCCTTCCCCGTGATCCGTTGCCAACACCTCTTCCTTCTCCATTTCCCCCGGTCCCCTCATTGCGAGGAGCCCTTTCTCGTTTCCTTCCCCCCCATTTCCTAGGGCTGCCGCTACTGTCCCTGTGGGAAGCCGGCCAATGAGCATTTGTCGGAGCAGTTCATTTTGCTCCCTAAGTTGGTGATTCTCGTGCGTCAGATACAGCACGGAGCGCTGCAGCTCTTCCAAGCGTCTTTTCTTCCGTTTGCGGGATTCCTGGAGACCAATGGGATGGAAGTAAGGTCAGAGTGGAGGAATTGGTAAGGTGAATCTAGCATTGCATCAACTTTATTCACACCTTTTCGGGGAAGGGATTCTCGCAGAATCCTCTTTCCAAAGTAAAATTAAACTCACCCGCGAAGCAAGTCGGTTCAGCTCCAATTTTTTTTGACGTTTGTCGTCTGACGATCCATGCGCATTTGCTGTGGATCTTTTTCGGGTGGCTCCTGACGACGCTACCGTCGTCGAAGACTTGCTCGCGGCGGACGTAGCAGTGAGGTTACTTGTTCCGGACGCGGATGCCGGGAATGAGGAGCCATACGAATTCACGTAAGTGCCGTTCTCCTCTCTTTCGTCATCGTCATCTTCATTTCCCCGCACGGAAGAGACCGCAGAAGCCAACTCGCTCATGCTATTATTGAGAGATGGAGGCTCCGCCTTAGGCAAATAATCAAATATAGTCAAGCTTTGATCGAGAGAGGCCGCCATATTCATGTCACCCTATAAAATATGTTTTGTAAGTGATCGTAAATGAGTAATGAAGCAGATAAGTGTTAGCGATTGGGAACAAAAATAAGCAATGGAGTGAAATGACTTGGCAAACAGACGAAAAGAATAAGCTCGACGGTTCAAGCCGGCCTGTCTTTGTCAATTACGAAAAGTAAGCATGGCCTGTAGGGTTTTACACAGTCTTCCAGAGTAGCTTGCAAACCAATAATCGTGGGAAACTTTTTGCACGCAACTTTTAAGTACACAGGACAGGTAGTTTGGACTCTCAAGCAATTTACTGGTTTAATTCAGAATTTCAAAAAGTTGTAAGCTCCAAATCGTACAACTCCACATGTAAGCAAAGCAGGTGGGTCTCATGTAGAACAAAAGACTGGACACCTCTGCTTGGTGAAAGTACAAGATGGCCAGCTTAAAATTCTGAGTGCAATGTCCTTCTACACTTTTGTCGGGTACTTAGTAAAAGCCGTATACCCTTTCTCCAATTCCCAACGGCACTGCAGCCGTTAATCTTCAGCCGTTAGCCCCCTTTGAATTGACCTCTCCCCTTCGAAAACAATTTGCTCTCCCCCCAAAACGAATTCAAAGTCGCCAAAACTCCGGCATTTTGGTTCAAATAGTCATGCAGGACTTTAGCGTATTTCCTTTCTAGGTGTACTCATGGCTTGACTGATGTATTCTTGATCTACAGCATAGTTGCTTGGGTCCAGCAAAGAGCCTTTGTGTACGGCTAATCGTACATGAAGGTGAAGACGTACCTAGCATTTTCTTTTGAAATCTCATTTTACAATCTGCCTCACATACAAAAAGCTCACGTCTATCAATAATCTGTAAGCAAGGTTACTATGACGAGTTTCGTCAGGATAGTAAAAGGAAGTTTGCCGACAAGAAAGATACCCTCTGCCTTCGTCATTGCAGGGGCACAATCATTTACGAGCAGCTCTTCTACTGATACAAGCCCAGCAACAAGACGTCACCGTTCTCTCCACCGCCCTATAAACGATGCTGCACCAATGGCGGGAACTGTAAGGCGCTACGATAGGCATGTAGGTAAATTCTGTTAATATGGCCCTTTCGTCTTGGTCGTCTATTTGTCTCAAATCATCCAGCAACCCGTGTAGGTCTTCATTCTAGACCCTTTCCGAGGGCACGAAAATTGGCCGACGTACCTGGAAGAGTCACGTTTTTTGCTCGTAGCTGACTACATGCAAGCTCAGAGAGCGCTACTAATGGCGGCCCATTCCCGAAGTGGCGAACAGGAAAGAGCATGGACGCTGAAATTTAATGTCGCTGAGGCATTGAATCACCCGCTCGGCGCGCCAAGCGATGGTATGTTATATTTTGTGGACTACATATTTTTTCATATTTAGCGGAGAAAGATAGGATTCCTCTCAAATATAATCTTTTTGTCAAGCGTAAAAAGTATGGGGAGTCATGTTAGGGTCATGGTATATGGAAGTCGCGAGCCTCCGTAGCAATAACTGATATCACCGTATCACAGACGAGGATGCCATAAATGCTTTCAAAGATCGCGGTCTCCACACTATCTTGATCTTCTCTCCTTGCACTCCTTCTCTCGCTGTACGTGGTCTGACAAAGGCCGACATACCAGCTCTGGTGAAATTGCTGCACTCGGTCGCGGATTATCCAACCACCCTACCGACCGCCCTCCCAACGCATGTGGCTGTTCAAAATCTTGCTGGGAAAGATATCTTTGTGTGTGCTCATGCCTCACGCGATGCCCGGTGTAAGGCCTGCGGGCCGCCGCTGGTCAAATGGCTGCGAGAGGAGGTTGACATGAGGGGTAAAGACCAAGTTAGAGTGTGGCCATCCTCACATGTGGGAGGGCATGCACATGCTGCGAACGCATTGGTATTCCCTGGAGGCGACTGGTACGGACGGGTGAACAGCAAAGAGAAGGCTAAGATCCTGCTCGAAGGTAATGCGGAGGATGCAGGGTTAAAAAAAATGTGGCGAGGGCGCATGGGCTTAGATGAAATTGAACAAGAAAAGCTCGTGTCTTGTTAAAATAGTGTGAAAAAACAAGAAAACACAGAAATGAGATTAAAATAATCACGTTGCAAATACTCTTTTGAGGTCGTGTGCACTAGGAATCAATCCGTTCCTATGTTCCTTGTCGCCTACGCTCCCGGAAAGTTTAGATAAACAAAACAAAGGCTCGGAACCAACAGCGATCCTGCAGAATCTTGCGATTCACGCGCGCCCGTGTGACTTTTCTCGTCGAGTCAAAATGAAGCTCTCACGTACGTCCCTGTTGCGTACGGCACCACGGGTTTCGACGTGGTCGTCTCCTCGATAGTTCTGTCCATCCCAAAGCGTTTGTCAGCTCTTCCGTGCGTTTCTTTGCCTTAATTGCATGTGTGGCTCTTGGTTTTAAGGTGAGATGTGTGTAAGATGGATATGAGCGAGCATGAGGACGAGGCAGCGACGCAAACAAGCGATTTGTTGCGTCGGCGGTGTTGTCGTGGTAGGAGCCGTCAGACTTCTCCATGTCTGTAGAGGGAAGGACACCAGAAATTTCTAAAGCACCTCGTATTGCTTTTGCTGACTATATGGGATACGTCATGCGATACTCTTTCTTTTCCACGAGCAGTTTACATCTTACTCCCCCCCACCCAGCATCATCCATGGCTTCCCCTCCTGCCGGTCACGTCCTCCGCGAATCCAACATCACTCTTGATCACGTGTTGCGAGAGAATAATGCAATTCGCAAGAGTAAGATTGTCTGCACGCTGGGGCCGGCTTGCTGGTCCGTGGAAGGCCTGGGAAAGCTCATCGACGCGGGTACGTCACCAATACGGAGGGAGCCGCGGAGCCGGGAATGGGGGTGAAAGTAACAGGTCTTTACCCCTACGGTAATTCCTCCGCTTGCATGGTCAGCTAGATATAATATTGCAAACAGGAAGGCATAAAACGAAACATTAAAGTGCGAGCATCCCGAGGGCTCCTTCTAATTTATAGAAGCGGATGCATCTTCCCGATCCGGCAACATGTCGCACCATTCAAACTCTCTCATTGAATTCCAGCCAGTGCCTGTCTGACCAAAAGCCTCCCCTCTCTTCTGCCATGACCCTCTGTACGCCCAGGTATGAATGTTGCCCGCCTGAACTTCTCCCACGGCGACCACGAGGGTCATGGGGCCACCCTGGACCGGCTGCGGGAGGCTCTGGCGACCAGGCCCGGGGTGCACGTGGCCGTGATGCTGGACACGAAAGGTCCTGAGATCCGCACAGGCTTTCTGGGCAGTGCCAAGACTGTGGAGTACAAGAAGGGGAGCATCGTGGAGATCGTGACCGACTACTCCATGCCTGGGAACAGCGAAATCATCGCCTGCTCCTACTCGGACCTGCCCACGACCACCAAGGTGGGGGCTACCATTTTGGTCGCCGACGGGTCCTTGGTGCTGAAAGTGACGGAATTGCGATCGTCCTCTGTCATGGCTGAGGTAGGGCGGAGAGGGAGAGGACCGGAAGCTGGGCGGCGTGGGTAACACAAATATTTTATTTTTTTTTCAATTTTGATGATGAAAAGGTACCTGGCAAGTCGTCGAGGCAGCTCTGACCTCCCTCTCATCCCCCCCCCTCCCTTTTTCCCTTCCTTGCTGGGGCCTTAGGTCCAAAACACCGCCGTGATTGGGGAGCGCAAGAACATGAATTTGCCGGGGGCGATCGTGAACCTCCCCACGTTGACCGAGAAGGACGTGGCGGATCTCACCGATTTTGGGATCCCGCAGAACGTGGACTTCATCGCCGCCTCCTTCGTGCGGAAAGGCTCGGACATCGACTACATTCGCAGCGTTCTGGGAGAGGAGGGGTCCCACATTAAGATCATCGCCAAGATCGAGGTGCTTACACCCTACTGCTTACTTCTTGTCCTTCTCCCTTCTTCCCTTCTATCCCCCCACCCACCGGGCGGCAGGAATTACACGGATCGGTTCCCAACTGAGCTCTCACTCTCTTCCCTATCTCTGTCACCGCAACACACGTATCCTCCCCCTGCCTCTCCTTCCTCCCCCTTCCTCCCTTCCTCCCCCCCCTTCTCCAGAACCAAGAGGGCTTGCACAACTACGAGGAAATCTTAGACAGGACTGACGGCATCATGGTCGCACGCGGTGACCTCGGCATGGAAATCCCGCCGGAGAAGGTCTTTTTGGGACAGAAAATGATGATCAACAAGGCCAATATCCGCGGTACCTCTTCCTCTCCCCCCTGCTCCTCGTCTGACCGCCCTTTCCCCCCCTACACCGTCCGTCTGATTCCTGTGACCCGTACGGCCCCCTCCCATGCCTCCTCCTTCCCCCCCCGCTCTCTCCAGGCAAACCCGTCATCACGGCCACGCAGATGCTCGAGTCCATGATCAAAAACCCGCGGCCGACCCGGGCGGAGTGCACGGACGTGGCCAATGCGGTCTTGGATGGGACGGATTGCGTCATGCTCTCGGGTGAGACCGCCAACGGGGATTTCCCGACTGAAGCGGTCACCATCATGGCCAAGATCTGCCGGGAGGCGGAGAGCGCCATGAATTACAACCAGCTGTACGTGTCAGGCTGGAGAGGGTGTTCACCCATACACAGCCTCTCCCCCCCTTTCCCTCCCTGTCATTGATCGTCCCCCCTCCCCCTCCCGCTCTCTTTGAGTACTTTTAATGAGGGGTCATGTGTGAGGGTTTGCTATCGGCCCTGTTCTTGTACCAATCGGATCGCTCCGCTCTACCTCCGTGTGAAAGGAAGGATTCTTGAGGCTCTTGCCTCTGTCCTAGGATCGATACTCCGGTTTTTTAAGATGTTTGGTCCCTGAAATTGGCATTTACATCTGAAGTTGTGCTCACATCACGGGGATGCACGCATCTTCTTCTCCCTTTCCATGTATTTACCTATGCCTCTATCTCTTCCCTGCCCCCCCTCCCTCCGTTCCTCCCTCCCTCCCTCTCTCCTTGCTGTCTGCCCGCTTCCTTTCCTTTCCCCCCAGCTCCAACACGATGCGGAACACGGTCATGGCCTTCATGGGCCACATGCCGGCGCCGGAGTCGGTGGCGTCCTCGTCCGTGAAAACCGCCTTCGATATCGACGCCAAGATGATCGTGGTGTTGACGGAAACGGGGAACACAGCGCAATTGATCGCCAAGTATCGTCCTTCCATGCCCATTTTGGCCTTGAC